GTCGTGCGACAGTATTCTTAGGCCAGACAAGGGAGCCTGAAGGGTGATGCAATCCATGTGCCCGGTTGCAGACAGACAAAAGTGTTGCGAGCGTCACTTTTCATGTAGACATTGTAGCCAGGTTTGGAATGAAACAACAGAATCTGTAGAGTGGAGAGTTTGGTACGATGATCATCAGAATGATACAAACAGATTCTTATTTGCTTTGACACACCCCTAGTCTTTCTCCTCCCAGATTCTTGCAGTGTTTCCATCAACCCTGGCAGGTTCAAGTTGCTGAGGTTTTTCATCCAACGAGTCTTCCATGGGTTTCGTAAAAGATTCCGAGTCACTTTCTTGCGATATTTTGATGGTGATCGTGTATGAATTCGATGGTGCTGGTGACATTCCTCCCGTGGGACGAACGGTAACGCGCCGACGGAGCCAAAACGGCACCCACCGAAACGGTCGTGGGTTTAGCACGTCATTCTGGCAATGTCCAACTCAAACGGGAGAATCCCACATGTTACTAGATGTTTTTATGGTTTTTTTCTGAAAGTGGCTTTTGGGGGGTAGGAGGGCACCCTCGAATTTTTTGAAAGATAGGTTGTGTGCTCGCTTTTGAATAGGTGCTGTGAGTGAGAGATCTGCAGACATTTTGATTGCTGAGCAGATCCTATTCAGGCTCTAACGTTGATGAAAGGGGAGGTTTGTGGATGTCAGATCATGCAGGCTTAAACGTGTCTATAAAATAGTCTCAGATGTGGGCCACATTCATGATCAATTTTTCAAAAACTCCAGGGTACCTGGATTAATAAAATATGGAACTTAATCCAGGGGCCCTGCACAAGGGGGTATGTAAGGGACCCGCCATGTTACTAGTAGCTTCTTGCTACTAGAAGCAATGCACTTGTTGCTAGTAGCGATGCCCTTGTTACTAGTAGCGTCTTCGCGCCAGATTCCAGAAAACTTGGAATCCTTGAATGATGACAATTTGCTCAAGAACCTGGACGACAAAACTGTCCGGCAGCTGAATCATGATGTTTCGATCATGCGAACGAACATGGATGTTCTCTTGTGATTGGCTGCAACATGTTCTGGACGTCTCGTGCCGATCGCTCTGCCATCGATGTCACCGCGCCATCGAAGACGTGTGTCGAAGACGTGTGCACGCTAGTAGCTTATTGTTCCTAATAGCAAACATTGTTACTACTAGTAAGGCACTTGTTACTAGTAGCGATGCACTTGTTTCTACTAGCTTCTTGTTACTACTAGTAAGGCACCTGTTACTAGTAGCGTGGCACTTGTTCCTAGTAGCGTCCTTGTTCCTCGGGAGACCCGTCCGCTCCAAGGTCCGGAGCATGAACGGGTGCCGTGTGGCCGACCACATCTTGTCGTTGGTGCCGGATGCGGAGAGGCGTCTACGCGACCGTTGGACCTTTTCGAGCATATCAGATGTTTGTTTTTTTTTTTCGTATGGTTTTTGTCTGTTTTTATTCTTTGTCACTTGACTTCGACGAGTGACCGATTGCGAGTTGGTTTGGTTTGATTGCCAGGTCTTAGATTTGGAAAGAAGCTATATAGTTACAAGTATATATATATATATATAGTTATATATATATATGTACCATGGGCCATAATTATGGAAAGCCTTGTTTTTGGGCTGGCACCACCAGTAATCAACTAGTGTTTTGAATCTTGAGAGGGTTTAACACCACAATACATCCTGAAGGGGCTCCGAGATAAAAGCCTTAGTGCCAATTGGAACGCATAGAAGACACAATATGTCATGGCAAGCTGTTCATTGAATAACTGTACACCAATCGAATCAGCCCAAGATCAAGTCATCCTTTCGATCTTTTTTATTCGGTTGGAGGCCATTGCTAGGGCATCTAGATCAACCAAAAGAAAAGGCATCAACAAAGTAGAAAGAGGATCAACAACATAATAAAGGATCAAAAAAAATCATTGATAGGCCTCTTCTGCTCCTGGCCCTGTGGTCTGCGGGTCCTCTGGTCCTCTGGTCCTTTAGTCCGCTGGTCCACTGGTCGTTTGGTCCCCTGGTCCCTTGGGGTCCACAGGCCCTTTGGCCCCCTGGTCCTTTGGTCCTAATCCAATCCCGTGGTCTCCTGGTCCTTTGCCCTCCTGGTCCTCTGGTCTGCGGGTTTCCTATGGTTTTCTCCTTGTTCTTTCACTGATGCTTTTTGATGCCTTTGGTCCTTTCTCTTGTAGCTTATTGGCCGCAGTTTTCCTGCAAACGTACAATGCTTTTGGCTTCGGTTGCCTTAGGTCTTTTTGTGCACTTTTAGATGCCCTTCACTGAAAGGGCGATAGGGTACATAGTTTCTACTGATTTCTTTGTGGTGCTGTGGTTTAACGTTTGGTTCGCTTTGCGGGGGGAGGCGCTGCGCTCACCCTCCCCCCCAACCCCCGTCCAGCACCACGAAATCTGCACTCTTGCACTGCGCCTGCCACGAAAACTATCTATGTAAAGGGTTTCCCATCGCATTTGCAGATTGTCCTCCTTCTTTGGCGGGACTATGCGTGAGCATTCAAGTGTAATAGCCCCGCAGCTTTTCACGTAGTGATGGAATGTAACGACCTTTTGAGCCGATGCTCAACCCCAACCATCCTCAGTGGGCTAGAATATTTTTTTAATTCCCTTTTTATGTCTTTTTGATCCCCGTTGAATCTTTTTTTGATTTCCTTTCTATTTTTTTTGATCCCTTACCCCATTGCTAGGTTGGAGGCCATCGCTATTGTGACAGACTGGTTCGTTGGTTTGGTTTCGGCACAGGTTCCGAGACACCTTGCGCTTGATCAAGCTTTGGGCAAAGCACCGAGGCGTTTATTCCAATGTGCCGGGGAAGCTCAGGTGAGAAAACGGGGGCCTCCTTACACAAAGTGCAGCAGCTTTAGGCCCTTGGCCACGTTTGAGACTTTCAAGCGCTTTCATATAGAAAAAACACAAAGGAGGGTAAGACCTCCGTTAATAAGAAATTGTTTTTTCTATGAAACTGTTTTGATTCCTTGAACTGACCAGATGGTCTCATATGTGTAAGTCGAAAGAGACCATTCGGTCTCTCTCCTTCTCGGATCGAGTCGATCTTAGGCTGGGCTTCTTTGGCGGGATCTCCTGGGCGATTCTGGTGGCACGGCTCTGTCAGTGGGGAACCGCAGCACGAGACAACTCGTCCGACAGACCCGTCTGAACTTGAAGACCTATGCATGAGCTCCATGTGAATCAAACCATTGTAAGTTTGTTTCCTGGTTCCATGGCATTTTTGTCAGGTTTCCTGGTTCTCAAATCCGCATTGATAGAACTTGGCCTCAAAGGATCCTTAGAGCTTTAAGACACATTCCAATGGCCCAGTTTAGACTTTCATCAATCCACACTTCTCAAGACTGTGGCGCTCTTTGATGATTCTTCTCTTAAGCATCGACACTCACAGGATACCACACCACAATGCACCACACCTGCTCAGAGCCTGTGAAGGTTGTATCCTTACTTCAACACGGCCACGCTCGTGAAGCGATTCTTTAAGCTCTACGAGCGGCCAGGGACTCAGAGCGGACCGGTGCGGACCACCGGGGTGGGACTCGATTCGTGTGCTCGTTGCTAACGAATCGCAGGTGGGACTGGAACAATCCTGTGGTATTGACCCACATCCAGGAGAAGTCACAAGCTCAGATTCCACTCTTTGAGTGACACATAGCTCCAAAGGCGGCATGAAAGGCCACGACCCCATTGCTCCTGAGGCTGAACACTCCCGGGCTCATGATGTTCAAAATCTGGAATCCAAAGGCCGGGAAAGAAGCAGATCTCTCAGAAACCGCCAACCTGTAGAAGCGTCCTTCCTCAGAGCATGGTCTAGATTATTTAGTATAGAGTTGTAGGTTTCTGAAACAAGCTGTTATATACTCCTTGTAGAAGCCTCTTTTGCAGCACCTTTGTGATTAGACTAGCCAATCGGAATGCCCCACTACCTGGCTCCAGTGTCAAAAAGAAAGGTCAAAAATACAAGAGGCCAGGAGCCCTAGTAGCGTCCTTGTTACTACAACTTCCAGGTCATCCTGAGAACGATGAAACCACCGCCACGCAGGTGAATCCCCAGGATCGTATGCATTTGATGCCCATCATCACGCCGGCGTTCCCGTTCCCTGGATTCGATCGTTGGGGACAATAAGAGCGGCTAGTGCATGCCATCGCTAGTAGGTCGGAGGCCATCGCTTTTAGGTTGGGGCGCCATCGCTCTTAGGTTGGAGGCCATCGCTAGTAGGGTGGAGGCCATCGCTAGTAGCAGGAGGACTTTCAACAGAACGCTTGGAAGCGGTGGCACATTGGAGAGCTCCAGATCCTTGAATTTCTTGTTTGCATGTTACCATGTTGAACCAATCCGCTGACTGATTAAGGCCCCCCCAACGCATCACACCAAGCAAGATCAATTGGGTAGTGATGTTTAACCAAACGAAAAAAAACGGGACACGAGTGCACTAAGGTGCATGAATTCCACGCACAATGTGTCTGAAACGCGAAGCTGGCACTGGTTTGTTTCTGGCGACTGTTTGTATGGATAGCAGGATTCAGCATAGACCGATCCAGGCTAGTTGACGATCGTGTTTTATTGGGTTTTAGTCAGAATTGTCCGGTTTGAATTTGCATCTGCTGCCGCTTGTGATTGGCTATGTCCCATCCAGGCCTCTGGCCTCTCTATCTTGGATTTCTTCTCAAAGAAGCCTTCTATGAATGGCTGTAGTTCTGGTCACAAGTGCATCATGTTCAACAGGAGGTGAACCTATGATACGCTTCTGCAGGCAACTTGAACATGTAGGAATATGTAGGATGTGTGGGATGCTTCATGGTTTCTGTGATGTTTGGGCCAGGACCAAAAGAATTATCCTGGCCGAAATAACCAGGGCCAACAAAGTCTTGGAGCAGGCAGTGCGAGAAGATTGTCGGTGGACCAGATTGTAAATGCACAAATGCACAAATGCAGAAAGTTTGGATTTCAATATCATCAATTGAGAGATTCGCTGTGATCCAAATGGCCTCTGTTGCATGTCAGTTCGAGCGAAGAACACGTGGCACAGGAACTGACGCGACCGTGTCGCAGATCGACGGTCAGCCGTCGACCAAGGTGGAGCAAGGCAAATGCAAATGGGCAGAAGTCTATAGGCTCTGGCGACCGAACAAAGAGTACGGTTTTTGTTTGATTTCAGTTAACAGTCACATGAGACATCCACTCAAGCATGAGCCACAGGTCATGAAGACACATTTAAAGGTTTGTTGAAGATGTCGGCAGATTTTTTTCTTCAAGAGTATGTTGCTTTTGGTAATTTTGGCATGTCAATTGGGTAGCTGCCGGTGCGATGAGACAGAGCTAAGTGAATAACTATTCCGACTCTTCTCTTGGTGTGGCAAGAATCGCAAGGAACCAACTGGGTGCCACAAAAGACCGCTTGCAAAAGGCCGTTGCCTTTCTTCACGCAGCACAAGTTCTATATCCAAATTGAGGTCTTGGCTGCAACACCTCAGGCGTGGGGCAAGAGGGAAGATCCAAAAAAGGGACAGGTACGGACGGGGAGCGTCGAACACTACGGGCGGTTTTTTATCGGTGTTTCCTCCGAAAAGCTCTCGGTGTTTCATCTCAGCGGAATTCTGTAGACTAGTAGCAAGAAGCTACTAACAAGGGCATCGCTACTAGGAGCGAGGACGCTACTAGTAGCTTCTGAACAAGAAGCTACTCTATAGACTATATAATATATAGAACTAATAGCAATGGCCTCCACCCTAGTAGCGATGGCCTCCACCCTAGTAGCGTTTTGGTCGGGCAGATTCCTGTTTGTATTTCTGTGTTTTCAGAGCGCAGTTCTTGTGGCAACTGAGACCCACGAGCTGTCGACAGTACTTAGAAGTGTGCAGAGAGGGACAACCTTCTGCTGTTGCATCGGAGGGTTTTGACACTTGCCTTTGTATGTTGGGCATGTCCAAGCATGTTCGTCGTGGCCAGAAAGCTTTTTGTGGCCCAGCTACTTGGGCAGCCCTTTTGCCATATTCTGATGCCTTTTCCACTGCAGGTCTTTACTAAATGGCTCGGCTGGATTGAGTGCGGACGCCAGCCCTTCACAAAGTGAGTTGGTGGAGTTTTGACATCGCTCCGTTCATGTGGATGAGTTCAATGAGGCCAACTTCCACAGTTTGTAGTCGAAGTAGGAGTGCTGGAGGCCATCGCTAGTAGGGTGGAGGCTGACTTTGACTCCAATCGACCGAAAGCGACACCGAACCTTTGGACCTGAAAGGTCCAAGTTGCGCCAGCTGGTGAAGCACCTGGAGCAAATTCCGCCCAAAGCCCGGTCGAGTGGGCCATGGCAAGCCTCTGGAACCAGAGAAGCACATGACGTCAATGACTGAATTTTAGCAGCAGGGTAGTTCAATAGATGCTTAGTGACAAGTGAGCCTCAAACTGGGGCCTGAAAGTCACTTTGAAGAACCTGCTACTGAAAAAAAAAGAAACCGGTTTTGGGCTGCGAAAAGGTCAGTGGCTGTCCGGCCTTGGCCCAATCACTTGGCCTTCCAGGAGATGTGACGTCCACGAATCGATGAGAGACGGACAAAATGCCGGCTGAAACCAGAACCAAATAGCAGCTTCTTGTTACTAATAGCAAACATTGTTACTACTAGTAAGGCACTTGTTACTAGAAGCGATGCACTTGTTGCTAATAGCAAGATGGTACTAGGTTGGAGGCCATCGCTATTGAATAGCCATCGCTGCCTCTTCGGCCACGCCTAAGTGAAAGTGTCACTCTGACACCTCCTTGACCATGTCTTCCATTTTCTTCCTATACCTGTGGGCGACCTACGGGGCAATAGCTTAGGAGTTGTCAGCGCAGTCAACGATTCTCCAAAAATCTGATCGACAGAAGGGAGTGCTGTAAGGATTCTTGGGAATAAGGTGGGAAAATGTTGTATTTGGAGTTGGTCAGATGCCTCTAAGCCTCTAGATCCTAAGACTAATAAAACATCCTTGATTCACTCAATCGTGTGATAGGATCCTGAATGGAAGCATGCAGTCTCCGTCTTCATGGGCTTGTGCGGGACTTATATAAACACCGACCGCACGGTTTTTGTCAGCAGACACAACAGAGCGTCATGCTAGAGCTCCAAGGACGGTGGAGAAAGCACCGGGGCAACAAAGCCATTCAGTGCCCAGCCCAGCTCATGTGAAGTCCGGCGGAGGATGGAGATGGGCACAGCCTGTCCCTGTGGTCTTTGACTCACTTTGGCTGTCCCTCAAGTGAAGGCTGCTGCATGTTTCCCTTTTGGAGACAGTGGTTAGCGGTTAGCCTGAAACATGCCTCAAGGGAAAGCTAAAACAGGCCACGTCTCGGATTACGTTGAGAATCTGACCACCCCGTGACTGCTACGGCCACGGCCTCCTTAAGCCTGAAACTCCACCCGTGAAAGAACGTGAAGATCCGCTTCGCTTCGACAACAAGTGGTTCACTTGCCAGCTCCAAACGCTCCAAAACCTGTTCTGTCAGGTGGACCTGCGAAGGACAGTGGTTCGCTTTGTGGAAATCATCAACAGCTGGCAACTTCACTGAAGACTGGAGCGTGTTTGTCATATCACGTTGACCCCCCGCGTAGGTCGAAGATTTTTTTGCACTTCAAATGCAAGAGGAACGTTGTCATATTCGTTTCACTCACAGCTTCTTCCGGATGACCCCCCGTTGCTACAATTGAGTGTTCCTTGAAGTCTCCCATGTGAGCAGTCTCCTCCGGGCCGAAAACAAAAAAGGCGCCTCCACAGCCGAACACATTCATCGCACTCTCCTCGCTAAGGCCGGACATGTCGCAGCACACTGGCCAGTGTGAGATGAGAGTGCGATGCCTCAGACCACGCGAGTGCGGTAGCGCAGAGAGATCGGCAGCGCTTGAAGAGCGCGCGCGAGTTGCGCCCCGTTCGGATTCTCGGGGTCGAACTTGGAACTTTTCATCCATATGTTAGCGCCAAGGAAACATGGCATGTTGATCAAGTCAAGTTTTGCTTCAAACTCTCTGATCTGCACATTCCCTTTTTGGGAGAAGACGAGTTTGGTCGAGACGGGGTCAACAGGGATCGCACGCGAGAGCTGCCGACGAGGTCCGAGACGTGAAGCGACGAGAGCTGCCGAGCTACGCTGTGCCGGAGAGAGAGGCGGGGGACGTGGTCCGAGCGACGCTCTTCGACGGCGCCGTCGTTCGCTTTTCGGTCTTTTTGGTGGTTCGGTTTATGGATGTTTCCACGGATTAGAAAACCTCCTCACGGGTCTGACATTTCTGGCCGACATTTGGCTCTGCAATTCGATGAGTTGTTCTTGTTATTCTTTGTTTGTGGGTTTTTCTGACAGCTTTTGCAAGACTCCTTTCCGTGCCATTTTTGTGGCCGTGCTATGCCATACAGTCATTTTACTTTTATATTATTATAGATAAGGCACACAGCAACTCTTATTTTATTTACAGTAAATCTTATGTTCATTCTTTAGGATGTTTCTCTTTCCATTATTTCATTTATAATCTATGCTATTCCAAGAAAAGAGACCTTGGTCTTGAAGCAAACTCACCAAGCTTTTGCAGGATGCCGAGAAAAAGCCGAAGGGACTGCTTCGAGCGTACACGGCCCAGCCCTTAGGGGGCTATCAAAATTGGTCGTTGAAGGCCATCGCTACTAGGGTGGAGGCCATTGCTGTGAGCACCTCTTCTCAGCACCAGAAAGTACCTGTTCGAGAGTGTTTTTTCTGTGAGGATGACGTGCCTGGTGAGGAAGCGGTTGGGCACTCAAGTTTTGGCCGATCGTTGATTTGATTTCTCAACCCATTGTGGGTAAACACTTGTCAAAGCCCCATCTACGCCGCAAACGTAACAAACATGAAAAGACAAAATGGCTGGACTCTGTAATGGCCGTGCTTTGATGTGGTCGGGGAGTTACTTTGACCACATTCGAGTGGCTTGTTGACCAGCCACTGTGTACTTCCGATTTTGCCTCATGCTTGCTTCTGAAGTAATATGCTGTGCAGGGTGTTAATCTTGTTAAGGATGTTGGGGCGACGCCTGCGCTTTTCCGAGGTCCCAACCAGGGAAGTGGCTCCAGAAGTGGTTCTGGACATTCCGTCTGAAGACTGAGCATGAAAGGCATGATATGGAGCGACTGCCTCAAGCTTGAATGGAGCAACCAGATGATTTCCCACGAATGAAGTGCGCGAAAGAAGACCAGTTTGGGCGAGTCAAAACGACCGTAACTTTTCTGTCTTTCGGGTTCGACTTGACCAAGGCCTGAGTCAAGGCGGGAATCCGAGACGAAGGAGCATGATGGTCACATCGATCAGATTTAGATCAGCGGGTCAATGGAAGGATGTTGGCTTCAAGTCTTTCGAAAAGGGATTCCAACCTTGGAGAAGTAGAGTGTAAAGCCATGAAGTAAAAGTAATATAAGTAATCACCATCGCTATTGGGTGGAGGCCATCGCTATTAGGTGAAGGCCATCGCTATTGGGTTCTTGAGACTGAGAGTTACAAACATGCGTGTCTTTGTAACGCAAGCAAATGGTCTTTTTCTCTCTGTGATGGATCCATTTGGACGGCTCACCGCGCTTTGGAGGCCAGTGCAAAGTGAAGGCAAACGGGAGATGCGTTGTTTCAATTACGATGGTGAAGTCAGACCAGCATAAAGTCAGGCTGCGAAAACTCTTGGTCTTTTTTTTTCTCCGGCACTGGGCTGTGTAGCTCTGCCAGGCCAGACAAAGCGAAAGCTGGTGTGGGACCAAGTTGAGAAGAAGGTGAAGCAAACTTTTTGCAGGGACTGTGGTTCTACAGTTGCCCACAGAGATTATGCATGGATTGCGGTTGATGTCCTTGCTGCAGGTTTTGATATAGCACGATATAGCAAGTTATACGGCAGTAGATGCAGTAGCCTGAAGCCTCCAAAAAGGCTTCTCGATGTACAGAAGGTGCTATAAGACACGCACGCTATCGATTGGCGATGTTTTCCAGACAGAAACCCATCAGCCACAAACGGAAGGAACCTTTGCCAAAAGCTTTGCGGGGCACCTCAGTCAACGGACGGACTCGGACAGTCGATCAACGGTCAGTGAGAAACAGCCGGGAAACCCATGTCGAGCCGGTGATGTTGTGTGGCGTCGTCTTTTTCTTTCACGAGCCACGTGTCGATGTTCTCGGCGTTTGCACGAAGAAGCTGCAGGGACCCTCCCAGGGAGGGGCTCAAAGTGTACTGGGCTCAGAAGGATGTGGTGTTTTCCACATCATTCTTGGTGAAGCGTTCATCCACCAAACTTGACATCATCGAACCTGTGCAGTTGGTTCTATAGATAGGAAGAATTGCCACTTTACACTTTTGTCACAGAGCCATATTGTTTTCTGCGAAGCACAGATGAGAGAATGGCCGACTTTCAACCGACTTTCGGTGAAGCTCACGAGTGGTTCGCCGCTTGCTTCGATGAGGCGGAAAATGTCCAAGATCACCGTGAAGTTAGCTGAATCGTAGTTCTGAGTGGCTGCTGTTTCGGAGGCATCTAATCGCAGTCTTTAGCCATTTAATCGCTCTTCTTGTTGCTTGGGATGCTTGAGAATTGACACTGCCATCCGTTCTTTTTTTGAGCGATTTCTGCACTCCTGATATAGCAGCTGTCTATTTCCTGTGCTTGGCCAGGAAAAAGTGATCGTTGGTTGGGGGACATGGGGGGGAACGCCAGTTCTTTTGGTGATGATATATTTGATGATGATGA